ATACTAAAAAATTTAATTTTTATTTTTTTTAACATATTTTCTTCCAATTTGAGATATAGCCATTTTGTAATATTCTAGAATTTTAGTTATAATTTCATGAAATTTGGGTAACTGTGAATTTAAGTATAATTATATTAAGAAGTATAATAAGACTGTAATGAAAATAGGAATAAATTCGTTGATTTAAACACAAATATTTATATTTTCTATTGTATTTATTAATGATTGAATTGCAATTTGCAAGGGTATACAAACTTCTGCGTGCCGAAGATAGCTTTCTTTCTTGTTTATTATACCCTAGCAGGGTATTATAATTTCAGTCAGAAGTTTGCAACGTTTGAAACGTTTGGAAAACTTGTACAAAAAATTCTAATTTTTTTAGTTTTCAACAGAATTTGATCAAATTTGAGATATATTAATATATTTTATATTCTAAAATTTTGTGTAAAATTATATGAAAATCGGACTACTATATCATATCCTGGCATACAAATAATCGTTAGATAATGTAAAACTGTAAATACCCTACAGTACCGCATGTCATAAATAGGCCACTGTCACTGTGCCTTTAATTCAACAACAGTTTGTATGGCCATTCATCGATGAATCATCAACAACACCGCCTTGACTGATGACTGGTACTGCAGGGTATATGTAGATGAATACACATATATAGGTATATACATATGTATAGGTGAATTAAATGAAAGCAGGCATTACTTAATTGCTTTTTAACATATATATATGTATGTAGGGTATATTAAAAATGCTAAAAATAACTTCCTTTCTTGTTTTTTATTTTTGTTAATATAACTGACTGATCGAGTTGACAGACTTTTTTAAAATGGCTAGAACAACAACCAAAATGTAATAATAAGCTCTGTTTAATTGCCGACTTGGTAAAAGCGACTGTTCAGTAACACAAACATAGGTTATGATTTCTGCACTTTTAACAGCGTTTCTTAGTTTATTGTGAGTTAACATAACATAATTCTCTCAGCACATATGTTACTCCTTCTTAGGCGATATTCCGGAATGTTGGTTTATTTTTCATACAACCGCTTGAAAAATGTTATTGAAATCTATGCAAAAGAGGCATGTTACTTAGTAATCACATACATTTTTCATAAATTTAAAAGCAGAGGGAAAAGAAACTGAATCGTTGGGAATTTCAAAATTTAAGTCGATTATATAAAAACTGGATTAATTTTTAATAACTTTAAAATTATCTTTCAAAATAAAACCAATAAAATAAATATAAATTAATAAAATACTTTTTTTTGTATGTACGTCAAACACTCATTTTTCTTTTTTTATTGGCAATTATGAAATATTTATTAGTGTTAACATTATACAATTAAATTTGTGTTTATATTATATTTACATACATATAACATATATTATACATAATACCTTGTATGCTTTGCTTAGGCTGATTAATAACTTTGGGCGGTAAAAAAGTGAAAAAACATGCTATGCCATTTTTATAAGCTTTTGCTCTTTTTTAAATAATTTTCATTGATCGGGGTGGAGCTTAGGAATATGCTTAAAGATTGTCCAAGGTGGGATAGTTATCGTTGTCTACAATGCTTTCTTCTTCACAAAAACTGTAACCAGGATCATCATCGTCATCCGCTCCTTTAGAACAGTGGTCATATTCTTGCTTAGAAAGAGACAAGTCGCATTTATTTTTAGTCTTTAACTCATCAATTGAAGCAGTCACAGAAGGTATTGGGGAAATTGGTTTGAAGACGTGCTGCAGTGGACAATATAAAAACCCTTTTCCTGCTCAAACTCGTCTGTTTCTTGAAGGTGATCTTGTAGTTGCTGCCGTAATTGATGTAGCTTACCGTTTGCTGTTTGACTGTTTTGGAAATGGAAGGTATGATGTTTTCGCAACGGCAAGCGCATTGGTCGTCTCGAAACTAGACGGTCGTAGTACACACCTTCAACCGGTTCTTGAAGGACCTCTGAAAGAATTTGCGCCGGAAAATCTTTTCGTGGTTTCTGAACGAGCAGTTTTCTAAGCACTAGCAATCGTTCATTATTTTTTTCATTGGATCTGGCCGATATCTTACTAATGGCATCACTCGTGGCGTTCTTGATTTGCCATTTCCCTGGCGTTCTGGTCGGATTATCTGCGGCAAGTGCCCCACAGGGCTGTCGTTTAATATGAAAGTATGGATCGCTGATAGTTTTTCTCCGGAGTTTGCCTTGGTGGTTATTTCCGTTGTCATTACGTTTTCCATTTTTTGCTAGAAATGGATTATTAGCCAGCCATTTGATTTGCTACCGTTATTTGAATAATTAAGTGCATGCAGTATAAACGTTGATGAAGTGATGTTGTGAGCGCCGTGTTTATCACGAAAAATAATTCATGTAAGTAAATAAGGTAACCAAAATTAAGTATATTTTTCTTTTAACTATAAAAAGATAAAGACCCTCTATATTCTCAACATATCTTTGTTTCCAAAACGAGATCAAGCGAATTTAATTCAGAAAATAAAAAAATGACAATTTAAAAACAGTAGAATCATATAATGGAATTATTCGGCTCATATAAGAGAGAATTCGATTCAATCACATTTTTACAAAAAAGATTATATTTTTAATAACGATTTTGAAATTAAGAGATTAAGACATTAAAAATAACTTTTTTCATGTTCTTCTATTTATTACGATTGTAACATAATAGTTTCTATGATATGCAAATCTACAAAATTGTACAAATATTCAAGTTATTTCCAAGTAAGTACTAATTTTTCATACCAGTTCACTAAATGTTTCTTGACTAAATAATAAGTTTCTGTTAAGGGGCTAGATCACTGAGGTTGCTAATATTCGAGCACTTATCATACATCCTCTTTTCTTACCAATAAAATTACACAGGCCGAAAAAATTTGCAAAAAAAAAAAAAAAAGAAAACGCAGACCCCAAAACCGGAATATATTTTTTCAATGGTTTTTGATTTGTTCAACGGGAATCCATTCTTATATCATTTTTATATATTTCAGGTTTAGAGATGCTGTATCTATATACTATATGTATATATAATATATATATATATATATATATATATATGTATATTGTCTATGTGTCGAATTCGACATTCGTACGTACTAAAAAAAAGGCTTTATTTTAATTTTTCAAAATTTTAAACGTATAACTTTTGGTTAGCACTATAATTGGTGCCAAGATCGATTTTGAACCTTTGTTCGTTTTCAATATATTCACTAAAATTTACTGCATTCGCACGCGACAAAAAAAGAAGTTACATTTGCAAGAAACCAGTTTAAGCTCTGATTTCAGCGAAACGTGATGAAACATTTTGTTACAATAAATTTTAATGAATTATGAAATAAATTATCTTAATAATGTATTTTGTTTGATTTTAAAATATTAAGTAGTTATTTTTGAAATTCAATTTTAGTCCTGGTCGCACGCGACACTTTGGAAAGCGAGAATTCAAAATAAAACTGTACGAACATTGGTAATCGCATATGTCCTTTTGCACTTTATATTGATTCCTTGCATTCACTGTGTGATATAAGAAAGTAAAAGTAAAAGCAAAATGCTTTTGTTTAAGAGATTGGCATCAAAACAAAACATGCCATTTTGTATGACTTTTTGTTTTGATAAAAACTACATTATTCGAGTTTACGCGTGTTCGACATCGGTTTTTTATACCCTTGCAGGGTATTATAATTTCAGTCAGAAGTTTGCAACGCAGTGAAGGAGGAACCTCCGACTATATAAAGTATATATATTCTTGATCAGGATCAAGAGCCGAGTCGATCTAGCCATATTTTCATAAAATTGTTCAAGAAATTTAAGATTAAAATAAAATGGCTACACCTCAAATTTGATGAAAATCTGTTGAAAATTGAAACTGTTATAATTTTTAATTGTATTAATTTCTCGATTCCTATATGAGCTACATTATATAGTAGTCCGATTTTCGTAAAATTGTACACAAAATTGTAGAATATTATGAAATGGTTTTAACTTAAGTTTGATGAAAATCTGTTGAAAAATGAAAAAGTTTTTATCGTTCTAGTTCTAATCTTAAATTTGACCAAATTCTGTTGAAAACTGAAAATGTTAACGACCGAAGGACAAACGGACATGGCTAGATCGACTTGCCTGTTGATGCTGATCAAGAACATATATACTTTATATGGTCGGAGGTGCCTCCTTCACTGCATTCCAAACTTCTGACTAAAATTAAAATACCCTGCAGGGGTATAAAATGAATATATATAAAATCTATATAATTTATGATTAGTTCGAATAAAAAAAATCTTTATAATTTATGATTAGCTCGAATATTTGTTCCAAGGTGATTTCTTACGCCTCACCTTATTATCTAGCCTATGATGTTTATATGCTTCATTTTATAAAAGTCATTTTAAACCATATAGAGAATTATTTGGCAAAAAAAATCTATAGTGAAGGAACTTTTTAAAACAATCAACTTTAGTTTTTATTAATTTCGTGAAATCTTCCTAAAATGTAAACTTTTTTAAAAAAAATAATGGTGTATTGTTTTCGTTTACCAACCTCATAATGACTGGAAACTTCACTGGATTTTTCTGGAGCTGTTGTTTCAACTGCATTTTTGCCCACACCAGATTGACCAATTTGATATTCTTCCGAACCTGCAGCAGTACTCATGTCTGTTTCCGCCGCTGTCTTTCTTTTTAAGGCAGGCGCATCGGCTCTACTGGTGCTGCATACTGGGACACAGAGTGAGACCGATGCCGGCTCATAAAAAAGTATTTCCCCGACTTCCCCAAGTTGGTTTTTGGCTAAGCCCGATTCGTGGGGCCATTTGTTTTCTTGGGCCAAGTTATCGTGAGCCAATATACTATTTTGGGCATCCAAATTTATGTTAACAGGTTTTCGACATAGTGAGCCAGAGGATGCATTTTTAGTTATTCTAGATTGAGGATGCTGTAACAAAGCCGTAGGCAATTGGGACTCATAGGAGCTGTTGGATATTCCGGAATCACTTCGATAAATGCTTATACACTCGGGCTCCATTAATGGGAATTCTGCACAGCTTTCCGCACTTAAAGCATCATTCTTTTTCTGGTGATGGCGTGGTTGGTGTTTTTTTTTTGCTGGACAGCACCTTCATTAACACTTGGATGAGCATGCAGTTGCGCAGTAGGGAGGTTATGAATAGACTTTAGGTTGTTTTTTTCTCCGTCCATATTTACTACATCCTGACTGGAGGTACTATTATTTGCCCCATTCTCGTAAACGTATTGGCGCATGTGTTGTCTACTTGTTTCCATATGACAATGTCTTATGCCAGCATAAGAATGTTTCTTTTTGCACTTTGTTGAAGAGCTGGGGGACGTGGTTAAACCGTTAGAGCAGTTTTTAACCTTGGTTGCGCTTGATAACTTCAAAGAGTAAAATTGGTTGTCCCTAAGTGTTGTGGTGTTGATAGATTTTCCACGGACCGTGCTATCTAAATCATCTCCTACTATTTTGTATTTGTTACTGTTGTTTACAGTCAGAAAGGGATTTGTACTGAGTAGCAAAGTATTTGGAACTTTAGTTGGCAGCGAAGTCCGCTCTGCTATAGCATAGGCCGGCTGATATTCCTGGCCGGCTGATATTTCATTACTTAATTGAACACCTGATGAAGAGTTAGTGTTGATTTTTTGAGTTGCATCATCTGATATATGAGTGTTCTTAGTTTTAGGTTGGTCACGGTGGAAATAGTCAGGGTAATTCTTTGACAATGTATTGCTTTGTAGATCATTATATGTGGAAGCTTGTTCAATAAAGCCTTTATTATGTTGATAAGTAGTAGGTAGACGGTGCATGATGTATTGCGAACTAATTTTTTTTTCAACTTCATGATCCGATAAAGGATTAGCGTATCTCAAGTGATGCAGAGTTGTCGGTTGAGGTTGCTGATGGAGGACAGGTAGCTTACTGATATCTCCATTTAATCTCTCAGATCGTGAAATGATGTGCTCCACATTTGTGTTGTTATTAAAATTTGTAGGGGTAGTAGAAAACTGTCGTTTTAATCCATTGGATTATTAGCATTCGTTAGTTAATACGAGAAACATGCAATAAAATATATATAAGTGATTAGTATTTGGTAGTTTAAGCTGGCTTAAAAAAAGCTAAGCCTATTTTATGTAAGTACATGTAATAAAATGAAACAGTTATACACACTTAACATTCTCTACGTTCTGTACGTGAATGCTATCTGTAGTGTTTTAATAGAGCTTGCACTCGTGTGTTTTACTCGACAAATTGATAAATTACAAAATTTGGGGCGACCCATACACCTCTTTAACAGGGCAAAACATAAAACCAATTCTAGACAATGTCGGTAAAAAATTTGCTAAAAACATATTAATGTTCATTGGTGTTAAAGAGATATTTTTTCCCCTGTTTCATACATTTTTAATTTGCCTTAAATTATATGGCATTGTTCATCTCCGACTGTAAGAAGCTGTAAGCTAAGAAGGGAGATATAATGTAATAAATGTCGGAAGTAAAGGTCGCATCAATAAAGGGGTTGCATCATTATGATTTCTACTAAAATTAAAATAATAAAGGATTACTTAGATAAAAGAAAACAATATAAAAATAAAAATGAATTTGGATTCAACATTTAGTGCCTTTCTATTCTTGTCCGATGCGTCTTTCGCCTTACATTTTTATTATATATATTTTGGTTTTTTGAACGAGTGTACTCCCGGAACATTTGCCAAAAAAGAAAATAATTAAGATATTTATGTCTTCAAAATGTATATAACTCCGCTAAAACTTAAGATATATACTCTTAACTTAAAAACTTGTTTAACACTTATTGTATTATTGACTATTTAAACATATAAGGTATTCATTTTTTTATATCCATTACTATTTATAAATATTGTACTTTGGTATCATGATTTAAGTATGTTTTTTTTAACTTATCAAACGTAAATTAGGGAAAAGATGAATTAGATAGAAAATAATATTATCTAAAGCGAAACCGAATTATTTTTTAGATTTGGGCGGTTGGCTTTTAGACTAAGCGCACTTAAGCCGTTTTCAAATTGTGATTTTAGAAGCGAAAAAGCAACATAAATGAAGATGACTTACATTTATTTGTAAAAGACTGTACGATATTTCACGTTAAATTAAAATATGGAATGCATAACAAAAGACAAAAAATATACATATAAGAAGTATATGCAGAACAAGAAATTCTTTATAAAAGTTAGACTTTTAGTTTCTTTGTACTAGACCCTAATAAACAATGATTTTTCTATAAAGTGCAAATAAGTTTATATATAGTAACTTTACCTTATTAGGTGCCGTTTGCAGACCATGAAACGGAAGATTCTCATACTCTCCAGGTTCCGTCAATGGTTCCCCCAGTGAAGATGACTTGTCGTGTACTATATTAAACATACACGGTACGGATCGGTCGATTATTCAATTATTGGTGACATTACGATTATGGCGGTATTTCAAATCCCACGAATAGTATATTTAATATTGGAAGCAAATGAGAAAAAAATAAAATAAAAATAATTTTACAAATTTGACAAATTAAAATACAAAATTTGATCATATTTTATATTATTAAAATATAGACTCACTTAATTTTAATGTATATGTATATAGTCTTAAACCATAGTATATATATTTATATTGTTATACCTATATGTACTGAGTAAATAATTACTCAATTCTAATTCATATTTTACAGCTTGTTACTATTTTCTGGTTGAAATTTTTATACCTTTGCAGAGTATTATAATTTAGTCAGAAGTTTGAAACGCAGTGAGGGAGACATTTTCGACCATATAAAGTATATATATTCTTGATCAGGATATACCGCCGAGTCGATCTAGCCATGTCCATCTGTCCGTCCGTTTCTACTTAAACTAGTGTCTCAGTTTTAAAACTATCTGAATTAAACTTTATAGTTAGTCTCTATATATAGTCTCACTCGTATATACATATGTATGTCGGAACGGGCCGGATCGGACGACTATATCATATAGCTGCCATAGAAACAATCGGAAAATTTTAGAAAAAGAAATTTGAGGTATTGCCATTTTATATTATTCTAAAATTTTGTGCAAAATTTTATGAAAATCGGACTACTATATCATATAGTTGCCATACAAAAGATTGTTAGATAAAGATGAAGATGCAAAACTGTAACTGTAAAACAGTAAATATGTTTTTGTCATAAATATATATAATGTATATTATACTAATTCCTAGTGATCAAATTGCAATCTGCAAGGGCTTGCTTCGGCTTGCCCAAGTTAGCTTGTTTTCTTGTTTTTAGTAAATTATTTCATTACCAAATATTTCATACCATTACTAATAAACAATAGTTTAAAAAAACTAAAAAAAAAACGCTTATATAAATAACCGAACTAAAAGGAATAAAATAATTTATAATTACAAACAAAATTATTAAATTCAGAGCAACAGTATATAATTATAAACAAGATCACTAAATTCAGAGTTAAAAGCGTGGGGTGCATCCGTAGACACGGTAGTATTTTGCGCCAAGTACCTGTTCTTTTCTGTAATAAATTATATCATTGTTTTAACATGTATTCAATTCGACTATTGCTGTGAATTTGTCATTTGATTGATATACATATGTTAATGCTGTCAATAAGCACAACGTGTAAATACATACGCGACGACATATTCCACATCTGCATTGTTTTTGTTAATCTAATAATTTTTTGTAAATATCAGAGATTTTCTTTTATATTTTATGTTCACAGAAATACATTTATCATTGTTTGTAACAATAGTTAAACATGTACTTGGCGAGACATTGTACAGTAAAACTGTTATTTGTATGATTTTTCTATATTTTCATAATTCACCCCTTACAGATAGTTGCCCTTAGAATAATTGTTACATTGATTATAGATGCACCCCACGCTTTTAACTCTGAATTTAGTGATCTTGTTTATAATTATATACTATTGCTATGAATTTAATAATTTTGTTTGTAATTATAAATTATTTTTTTCGTTTAAGTTATGTTATTTATAAAAGCGTGTTTTTTTAGTTTTCTTAAACTATTATTTATTTTATATTTTTTAGTGTGGGTACCTATAAACGCGTATTTTTTTTTAATTTTCTAAGCTATCAGTTATTTTTCGTATTTTAGTTCGATTTATCAATAATCAATTTTTGCGTACATGCAATTATGAAATATCTTGCAAATAATCTTATTATTTCGCGCGCTAGCTCTGTCTCTCTTACTCCTTTAAGGAGGATCTATAAAAGAATTTATCAATCCTGACGATCCTAATCAGGATAATGAAAATTTGTTATCAAATTATTGCATTGTCATCGGTCCTTGAGAAGTATGCAAAGTTTCAAGTTAATCAGATATTTTGAAACCCTTGAATATAGATTTCAAAGATTCCGTTACATATATACATAGAAACATACATACATCCCGAACTATTAAAAGCGTATTAAAAATATATTATGCTCAGCATTAGAAATTGGCTCAATTGAACTATTATTTAAATATATATCTTCTATCTATATATATAAAAATGCTCTGTTCGTGTCTACTTCCTTCATAGACGTGAAAAGTTCTGAACCGTTTAAGCCCAAACTTTTACACAACATGCGTTGAGGTTCCAGCTCGGTTATTGTCTACTTTTGATGTTGATAGCTTATCTGCATTTGCGAATATATATATATATTTTTTTCGCGTTTCCCCGTGCCCCTACTGCTGCGCCCTCTACAGGCAGCCAGCTGAATCGAACCATTTCCTGTCAAACATTCAAAACATATTGAAAGAAGAAATTGGAGATAAAAACTTTATTTTTTTTGTTCAGGTTCAGTAAGAAACGAAGTCATGCCACCCAGGAAGTCGAGTTTGGGTCGTCGTACTCGCAATACAGAAGCAAACAGACGTAAGATTACGAATATGACTGACGAAGAACTGGCATCCATCCGAGAGATTGAGCGGCTGAAAGCAATGCAGATTCACAACGAGGAATCAGCAGAAAGACGAGCAGATAGGCTTGAGAGAAAACGATTGAGAGTTAGGCAGTCGCGTTCTGCAGCAATCGATTTGATTCACTCTCAAAATAATGAACGCGACAGGGCAAGGGTAGCTGAAGCTTGGATGCTCCAGGAGGAACGGGGAAAACATTTCTCGTTACATTGATTCTGGCTACGGTTCGAGCTAACAAGGACATAGCTTTAGCTCTTGCTTCATCTGGAATCGCTGCGACATTGTTACCTGGTGGGAGGACTGCTCATTCAGCGCTGAAGTTGCCGTTGAACATGCAAATCATCGAGACTCCTACGTGCAACATTTCCAAAACATCTGGCATGGGAAAAGTATTGCAAAGATGTAAACTCATTGTTTGGGATGAATGCACATGGCACACAAAAAATCGCTGGAGGCTCTCGATCGATCATTGCGGGATTTGCATGGAGCTGTCCAACCATTAGGGAATGCGTTAATATTGCTCGCAGGGGAGTTCAAGCAAACGTTGCCTGTGATTTCCCGATCGACACCAGCTGACGAGATAAATGCTTGCCTGAAATATTCTATATTGTGGCAACATGTACGTACATTACAGTAGAAGTCGAATATGCGTGTCCAGTTACAGAACGAAGACTCAGCCGACATATTCTCACGTCAGCTACTGGACACGGGGAACGGAAAGCTGCCAGTCAATGAGACGTCGAGAAAAATAGTATTGCCCGAGAATTTCTGTAATTTACTTACATCGAAGGAAGGACTTATCCAAAAAGTGTTCCCCGATATCCGAATAAATTTTAGGAATCACGATTGGCTCAGTTGACGAGCGATTCTCGCTGCCAAGAACAAAGATGTATACCAGCTCAATCATGTAATCCAATCCAGCATAGAAACTGATGAAATTACATATAAGTCGATAGACCCCGCTGTGGAGGCAGAGGAAGCAGTTAATTACCCTACGGAATTTCTAAACTCACTTGATCTGCCTGGAATGCCACCACACATATTGAAATTAAAAATAGGTGTGCCGATTATCATGCTCCGAAATATAAATCAGCCGAAACTCTACAACGGTACGCGACTCGCAGTCAAGAAATTTATGAACAACGTAGTAGAAGCCACGATCATAACAGGTCCTTTCAAAGGTGAAGATGTCCTCATTCCTAGGATTCCTCTGAACGCGACTGATACACCGTTTCAGTTCAAGAGATTGCAGTTTCCCATTCGTTTGGCGTTCGCAATGACCATTAGCTCAATGACCATTAGCTCAAGGTCAATCTATGGAGTTGTGTGGTCTAGATTTGGATGCAGATTGTTTTCACACGGATAATTATATGTTGCGTGTTCCTGTGTCGGAAAACCAGATAGTCTTTATATTTATGCTGAGAATGGAGAAACGAAGAATATTGCATACCCACAAGTATTACAGAATTAAATGAATTTGAAAATTATTATTTTATGTTTGACTAATTTCTTATGCGTGCAACCACAATATGCGACAGAGAAACGTGGCAGGGTACAGCTAGTATATGCATGTGTATATAGTCAACATCTGTGATCGGCACAAGCGTATATCACGTGGCGATTAATTTTCTAAACGAAAAATACTGAGGTCGTCGATCTACAGGAATAGAAAGTCAAAGTGGTTTGACCATTTCAATCTGCCATTTGACCCGTTCATTTATATAACAGCTTTACAAATGCATATAATAAGTTAAAACACATCATTTTTATATAAAACTCAAAATAGATATTTAAAAATCGTTCCTATGACACCATAATGATAAAGTCGTCCCGCCTGAAAAGTATAAACTTAAACTTTTGCAGGTAATCTATAATGTGAGCTAATATAACGACTATATCATATAGCTGCTATGGGAACCATAGGAATACATTAGAAAAATATATTATACTTCATTGTTTTGCCACATATTCTCATATAAGTTACTAAATAATTTTTTTTACTATTTCATTCAAATCTGATGTCTGCAATTGTATACAATTTCGTGAATTTAACTTTCATTTTTGTTGATATTGACATAAATGTTATGATATATTAAAATTTTCGATTAGTTGATGGTGAAATGTATAACATATATTAGTTTATAAGTTAGTTCCCTGCAGTACCAGTCATCAGTAATTAATCAACGATTCATCAACAGTCAAGGCGGTGTTGTTGATGATTCATCGATGAATGGCCATACAAACTGTTGATGAATTTAACATGGGCATGTCTTAGGCTGTCATCAACAACAATTAATCAAATAATCATTAAGAAATTCATCAGCATATCATCGATTAATCATCAACAATTCATCAACAAATTCATCAACGGCCGGCCTTGGTACTGCCGACGACGGCATAGCGTCGGCTCGGTAGAAGTCGCAGTCGGCGCGTTGATGA